AGTATATATATATATATATATATACTAAGTAAGGTTCTTTTCTACTTACTTGAATAATGCACATTTTATAATCAAGCTGATTTTTTTTTAAATCACAGTGATCATGTATCTTACAATACTGAAATTATAAGAATTTTTAAATTTCCATTAGAGAAATTAATTTTATTTTACATAAAAACTATGTGTATCATTTAATATATGATTGTAAAAGCTAATTCTGAATTTTTAAACCTGAAAACTAAACTCCCCATCCCCATCATTTTTAAATAACATTCTGAAGCTCTTCATAAAATTAGTCACAAAATACTGTCAGGCATATTTGGCATGCACACAATAGAACAAGAAACACCATGTTCTCTTGTAACAAATTCTTCTTAACTTTATATGGAGGTGTCATGATCACAAGTTTTTTTTTATTCCAGTCCATGGAATTAGAATTATACATTATCAGTAACATGCGTAGCATATCACATGTTAAGTGCTATGCTATGCATGATACATTCAGGGTTAATATTGGCTAGTCAGTCTCACAAGGGGGTAGGAGTGCTCCTGCTGATATTTTTCCTAACAACTAAACAAATATTGGGAACATTTCTGTATTTTCTAGAATAAAATGTATGTTGACATCAACCATTTCTTCATTATTACACATTATCTCAATAACATTTAGTAGGCTTATTTTGTTATAAAGTATACTACAATATTGAAATATTGTTCAAACAGTAAACAGTTTTATTTAAAAGCAGAACTGTGGTCAAATAAGTTGACTTAACTTGTTTTTAAAGTTTTATTTCAGGTTGTACCTGACATCAAAAAGATTGTCCAACTTTTTATTGTTTCTTAGTTTGAGATTTTTATACAGATTTACTTTCAGTTGAAAGGTATAAGTCCTCAGTTTTTGTATTTTGAATTCAGCCAACCCATGAGATTAGCATCAAGCATTCCTGATGGATCTCGGTTGCAGGTGGGTAACCATCCACCATCCACACGACTACCATCAATCCCAGAAAGAACTATTCGTTACCAGAGAATTGAACTAGAAGAGCCTCTTCCACAGAGTAAGTTATATGTTTTGGGATGGCAGATGAGTTTCATAGTGATTTGGACTACAGTTTTTCCATTGTGTTACTTAAGACATAGAAAAGTAATAATTTAGCTTGTAAATGTAACATTTATCTCAGACGTAAACTGTAAGAATGGTCATTCCATAATTACAGTAAAAGAAGGTAGAAAATATGCTTTATTATACTGTTTTACAATGATCTTTCTCAGTTTTTGGTAATTTCTTCTAAACATATTCAGTAAATGTTACATAATTATAATCATATGTTTGGCATACAGAAAAACTACTTGAGGATGTTCATGTAAATTTAATAATGTTATTTCAGTATGCAACATGTTGTGGGTGTTCATGTTGTATTGAATTTAATTTTTTGTTACCACCTGCCAGGTTTTATGGGCCAGATTGTTTATAATAAGTGTTTGTGACTTGTTAGCAATAAATTAGAACAATAAACGGACAGCACACAATCCACTTATTTTAAAATAATATATTCAAAACAAGTCAAACATATGTATAAAAATTCATTACACTATACAATATCACAGTTGTATCAAAAACTCTAAATAATTCTCTTTTTTTTGTCAAAAGTCTACACAGGCTGGTTCAGTTACTTTAGAACCCAACTGACAAAACAAATTATGTTTCTGTACTCTGTTTCTTACTACACAATCTGTGATAAATTCACTTATGTTACCCCATGGGTTACCACAGTTGTATCCAGAACTTTATCTTCTCCTTTTCATTAAAGTTCACACAGGTGGGTTCAATTACTTTACAACACCTTTTGACAAGACAAATTATTCCTCTCCATGTCTGTTGTTACAATACAAACTGTGAAACTCTCACTTTATAAACAGCCTCTTACGTCTTAACTGACAATTAAGCAGTCTAACCACATTCACTAACTCATTTTAAGGTCTTCAGAAATCACCCATCATGGCTAAACTGCCAAGTAGTCTATCTAGATTAGTCTAAGTATCTCTCACTGAACTTGCTTCCCTTGGTCACCTATATATATATATATATACACACACACACACACACACACACACACACACACACACACACACACACACACACACACACACACACACACACACTACTAC